ATATTCAAAAATTCAGCTCGCGTTAAGTTGGATTCCTTGATCTTACGTATAAACTAAATTTTCTTCCCCTTTATCTGTCTCTCTCTCTCTCTCTCTCTCTCTCTCTCTCTCTCTCTCTCTTACTCTTATATTACGTGCTTTTGCACTGAATTAATTTATTTTTAATTTATAATTAATTATATGAAAAAGTCATTTTTCAACAATTTTTATTATGTAATATAGTGCATATAATAATAATGATATATAATACTTTAATACTGGATGAGTGAATTTTTTATAGATTATAAAAAAGTTCCTAACCCTTTTAGTTTTACAATCTTATACAAAAAAAAAAGAAAAAGCCTAAAAAAGCTTTAGAAAAAAGTAATTGATTTTTAAAATCATCTAAAAACTTTTTTGGTTTACCTAAAAACTTTTCGTTTACCTATTATAACATATTATATCCATAATAGCGTGTAATAATATAATACATAATAAAAAAAAAGTCTTATTAAAAATTTTATACTTTTCAATTATTTTTTTGTCGTTTTCATCATCTACAATTCAATGAAGAAATTAACTTGTTCACTCGAAATATAGCTTTTTTAATATTACTATTGCTACCATTAAACTACTACTACCTATTACTTCTACTATTATTACTACTATCACTACTACTTACTACTGCTGGTACTATTATTTATTATTACATTACACTACTACTATTACTATTTACTAGTACAGTACACTACTACTACTACTACTACTATTATTTACTACTACATTACACTACTACTATTACTATTTACTAGTACAGTACACTACTACTACTACTATTACTATTTACTACTATACTACATCACAGTACTACTACCACTACCACTTTGAAGATGACACGCATGGCGGGTCATCCCGGATTTCATACGCGCTGAATGCCCGCAGTGCATTTCATGAGAGAAGCCGAGGTGGAGTCTCGTGTTACCCGGTGAAACCTCCATTGTTTCGATGGGATCTCCAGGAACGTACGGAGTAACGAGCTGTTGAGACTTGGGTAAAGGGGGCAGGGTAAAGAAGGGCAAGGCACGATAAGGGTAGGAGGAGGAAGGTAGATTGAACAAGGTAGAGTATAAAATGGTGATGAATGAAATATGTAAGTAACGAGTGTAACTCGCGATTACGAAATAAAACGAATCGCGAAAGTTCGTTCTTCGTTCCCTTTGTTCGTTTAAAAGCGTAAAAATTTCGTTTCGGAATATTCTCTTTACTAATTTATAAAAGGAAGAGAAGAAGAGGAGATCGAAGAAATCGTGATAATTAATGTTTCGAAAGCGCGATTCACATATTCGCTCCCCTTCGCCATCGCCATAAGTTGCAATAATTTAAAAAAAAAAAAATACTAATAATAATAAAAAAGAATCTTCTTCATATTTGTCAAATAATATTCATATTAAAAATTAATTACACTATTATCACTATTTGTACGTGTTTACTCGTATAATTGAAAAGTCATCAGAAATATGTTTTTAATTAAAATGCAAAATTATTTAAATGTCCTCTTATAAAAAAGAAAAAAAAAGAACATTAAGCAATAATCTTAAATATTTTTTTTTAAATATCAATTGCAATAATTTTAACATCGTCAAAAAAATAAAAAAAAATAAAAAGAAAAAGGAATGATTTTTTTTATATTCATATTCCTATTAAAAACTTAATTACAATATTAAAAACATAGAAACGTACTATCTATGAAGTAGTTTAGGTGGAAAAATTAAGAAGTTGGGATATCACCCTTAGGTGACAACGATGTTGTTGGGGTGTTTTATTTATCCATTGCTCTTGAGGATACATCTCGCGCAACGATATCCCGTTTTCATGTAGTAACGTTGGCACAGCCGCAGATCGATTAAGCTCTATTGCACGCACATTCACGATGGTCCGTGGTTATCCTAGGCTACATACTGACTTTCCAAATACTCGAATCTCTCTCTCTCTCTCTTTTAATTTTTCATTTTTTTATATCTCTACATTATCTGACTTCTTTTTTAAAACAAAAATAATACCTGATATATATATATATATAGGATGAAGGGGTAAAAAATCCCTAAGTAGATCGAAAATTCTTAAAAATGATTTGAAAAATCAAATATTCTTTTTCTAATTAGCTTTTATGCTAATTATTTTATTCACATTACTAAAACTATATAAGCGTATACTTGTAAAAGAAACCACTAGCCTCTAGGAGCCTAAAGTTCCCAAAAAAAAATTTTAATTTTAATTTTAAAATCAATACGTAACTTTTCTGGCCAATTTTATAAGCACCATTCGCTGTATGAAGAATTGGAAAAATCTATAACAATAATATTTTTTTCTAAACCTACATTCATAATTCCTGTGCAAGTAATATCTATATATGTTTTTAATCTCCTCTTTTTAATGTATTTTCAAGTTTTCTTCCATTACCTGTTCCCTCTCTCTCTCTTTCTCTTTCTCCCTCTTGTTCCAAAAAATATAAAAAAAAAAAAGAAAAGAAAATCCAATATATATACAAATACATAATCGTATCATAAAAACTGATGATTATTAAAGGAAGATCTAACGTTTCTCTTTCTTTTAACCCCTTTTCGTAATTCCCGCGGAAGTAATAAAATCTGATATGCACGATAGTCACATATAATTTTTTTTTTCTAACGTACGAGTTCAAGATGACATTATTAGATATTATATCGATTTATGCAGACAATGAAATTTTTATAAGAAATGATATGTGAAATTAATAAGCACGATGAAGAATGGTCGAAGAAAAATGGCGGGAATATTCGAACAAAATTTTTGAATTTTTCTATCTTTATTTCCCATTCTTCGTATTCTTATCGTTATCATCGTCTTGTAAAAAAAAAAAGAAATGAACCAGCAGCTGTTTCCCCGCCCAACTTTCTATCCCTTTCTTTTTTCTTTCTATTTTTTTCTTTCTATATTTTTCTTTCTCTTGATTTAACTGAGTGATTAAAAAGAAACAAGAAAGATGAGAGATCGGAACCGTTAGAACTAACGATCAAAAGCCACGAGATAATTAATATGCTGGCCAACGAGCACTCTTGGAGTCTAACAATACATAGAATATTAAGTCTTAAACCGTGAGTAATTTAATCAAGAGATAATGACTTTGTTATAATAATAACAATGACGAATATCTAAAAATTATTTTTCAATGTAGATCGTTAAATAAAAATTTATGAATAAGTGAAAAGTTCAAATCAATTTTACCAACTACATAATAATTATTATTACATTAAAACAATACTGTATCATGATAGACACACGAATAAAGAAATTGTTATGATGATAATGATGATAACAATAATAATAATAATAATAATAATAATAATAATAATAATAATAATAATAATAATAATAATAATAATAATAATAACGGCGAATTTCTGAAAATTATCTTTGAACGTAAATCGTTAAATAAAATTGATGAACAAACGAAAAAAAAGAAAAAAAAAGAATAAAATTTAAATAAATTTAATCCAAATTTTAAGTTAAAATAATTTTTACTGTTATAACTTGAAACTATACTATACATATTCCATGGTATGCATAACGCCTATACATACTTTATTAAAGTTCCTTTTGATAGTATCAAGCATTTAATCTTTTCATTTAGCTTCGTGTACCGAATAATAGACGGAGTAATAAAGAAAAGAAACTCGCACGAACTAACATCTTCGTAACGTGACATTAAAAATGTACGTCGTTTGCGTTAATTAAGATTGTTATTTATAAAAGTAACAATACGTGCACACACACGCACACGCACACGCACACACACACACACACACACACACACACACACACACACACACACATGTTTTCACAGCGGATCGAAATACACATTGAAACTGAGCTCTAACGACGCATGTCACTGTGATTGCATCGAATCAAATAAGAAAAATAAGTTATTTTTCTATTGAACAGATAGTCACTCGTCATATTTATTATTAATAGCACGAAAACGACCTTGATGAACGTAAATAAGATAGATCAGTTTACGTTATATTAGAGATACGATGAAAGAAAAAAAGAAAAAAAAACATTTGTTAGAAAAGAAATAGGCAAGGAAAAGAAAAACAGAATGAAAAGTAACGTCCTTGAAAAATGATAAAAAGCTGTTTAAAAAATAATGGCAAACGCTTTAGCAATTCATTTTTAAGCTCGCTCTCTCTCTCTCTCTCTCTCTTTCTCTCTCTCTCTCTCTTTTTCTATCTTTCTATCTCTTTCTAACATCGCGTAATTATCAGAATGAGAGAGAGAGAGAGAGAGAAAGAAAGAAAGAAAGAAGCAACGACGCGCTCCAAATCGTTCAGAAATCTCATTTTGCGAATCTAACCGTATGAGGAACTCGTCTAACAACGAAAACATACGATCGATTGAGAATCTAAATAACTACATATATGAAAAATGTTAAACAAATATAAAAGAAAATACATATATATATATATATTATTGCGTATCTAACCGTATTGGGAACACATTTAACACATTAAATACACGATTTAGATCTAATTAAATGATCAAAAAATAATTATTTGAAAAACTAGAAGAAAAAAAAAAAATAAATTATATCATCGCGCATCTAACGATAAGAGGAGTTTACTTCAGTCGACGAAGCGCACGATCGATTGAAAATCTGAATAAAGATTAGAAAACCATTAGAAAGAAAAAAGATAATAAATAAATTATGCTATCGCTAGTCGTATTAAGAAAACTCTTCTATGAAGACGCATGATCGATTGAAAATCGATCGAAAGTTTATTAGAAAAGCATTACGAAAAAATAAAATCTATGATATCATTGGTAGATCGATATTTCACAAGAATTCAATTTAAAAAAGATATCGACGGACAAATAATTTTTCTTTTTCTCTCACCTTTTCTATTCTCTTTTAAATAATAAAAATAAGAAAAAATAGGAAAAAGACAAAGAAAAAAGAATTAAATGACAGAAATATCTCTAACCTTAATTTCTGCGTCTTTAGTCCTTTCTCCGATATATTGCTCGTTCCTCGATCCTGTCTGTTGTCTTGCAGAAAAAAACCCTTTCTTTTCTCTCTCTCCCTCTCTCTCTCTCTCTTTCTCTAGTTGTGACGTACGTACAATTTTTCTTTGAAGGAACCGGCGAACGTTTCTTTTTCCTGACTCGTTTGATGGACGATCGGAGATTATGAAAAATCCTTGAATTAATCAAATACACAGGATTGATTCTTTAAACGAAACATGTTCGCGAAAAAGGATTGACGTCTGAACAGACGAACGAACGAACGAACGAACGTACGAACGAACGAACGTACATACGAACGAACGAACGACGAACGACCGCCCTGCTCTCTTGCTTCCCTCACCCATTCACCTCATGATCTTTCTCTCTCTTTCTCTCTTCTTCTCTCTCCCTCTCTCTCTTACTTTGAAGTACGATATATAATGTAAGAAGCAATGTACAAGCCGGTCTTGAAATAAAACTAGTTTATCGGTACTCACCGTGATCTATAGATCAACAATTTACACCTCGTAAATCACGCACTAATTTCCTTCAAACAGGAATAAATGTAGTCGAGCGACAGACAGACATCAAAACAGCCCCTTCTTGGCTATGACTGATTTTTATCGAACTAGCCGCGGCGAAATGCGGATCGCGCCTCCGCCGCACTCCCATCTAGCGGCATCTTGTCGAACTAATCGACGTAATTCTTTCTTTTTTTTCTCCAACTTCTCGCGCATAAAGATATTGATGTGTTTTGTTTCATACTTTTGTCTATCGTTGTTTATATCCAAGAATTTGTTTCGAATTTATTAATTAAGTTTAAGATTTATATGATATCTATGAGAATTTTAAAAGTGTAACAAAATTATCGTCGATTTGTAATATGTGAAATTACAAAATGTTACATCTCCGCCAACTCGCGGTTGTCATCGAAACTAACGTTAAGAGAGGAAATGTAAATGTTTATAAGAAAATCTTTTCAAAAGACGTTTCTAGAATATGTTCGTATATAAATATGTTGTAATATATGAAATGTCGATGTATATAGTATACATTTGTAATAATTATAAATATACATAATTTGATTATTCTTCAGTCAAACGTACTACAGAAAGTTTTAAATCATGATCGTAAAATGTACATGTACACGCTAATCCTAAGTTTTGCTCGTTCGTTTGAAATATAGCTCGTTCCATGATACATTGACGCGAAAGGAATGACCAATCGCATCCGTAAGATAAACTTTCGTGGTTATTATATTCATCAACGATGGAAGGCGTCTCAATATTCTGACAATCGATTACTTTAAATCCACCGTACATGCAAGCTGCCAATAGAGATCGACGCGCGAAAGGATCCCATTTCAAACGCCAAATACCACCGTGTAAATTCGTTTCTGAAATCGGTCTCTTGAAATTTCTCGTATCCCATAAACGTAATTTTTCGTCATAACTAAAAATCATTTATCTTTGTAGAATATACTAACATGTATATAAGTATACGGTGTAAATATTTTTCTTTATACCTTCCTGATGCTAATAGATGTTCTTTATCAGCATTACTGTGAATACTAGTAACACCAGCAGTGTGGATCATATTGCTCATGGTAAACTTCTTTCCTGTTCTTATATCAAATCGTTGAAATTTACAATCGTCTCCACCTTAAATAATTAGTATTTCTCAAATCAGAATGTGAAGATAAATTTATAGAATGCTATTCGTACCAGTGTATATTACGTTTACATTCCAATAATCGAAAGCAGATATCCATGCTTCGTATTCATGAGATAACCATGACGTTAGAATTTTCATTTGGTCATTATGTAACTCGAATAAAGTTATGCCACCAGTAGAATCGCTAACTATTATATTAGCTATGGAATTATTTTCGCAAGAATATTTTCCTGTAGACCAGTCGAGGGATAATGCTAGAATTTCTTCCTTCTGATCGTTTACTTTCAATTCTGTCATTAATTTTAATATTTCGTCATCTCCATTTTGTAATTGGTAAATTTGCAAATAGCCTAACGAATTAACAACGCCTAACAATATTTTTTGATTACACGTAACGTGAGCCCATTTCATATCCAATACCCCTTCTGTTTCTAATTGTTGCAACAACTTCATACTACCATCTTTAATGACTTGAAACAAATATATTCTGCCTAAACGTCTACTTGATTTTGATTTTTTCTTCGAAATACTTTCTGTTGATACTATCAGTTGATACGTCCCACATACAAATAAGTCTTTGAATGGTTCTATGGGACACCATTCCACAGAGTCCGCGTAAAGTTGTGTATCGAATGTACTTAAAGTTTGAAACATATCTAAAACAAGCAGGTACACAACCTGAAACAGAAATAATATAAATAATAAATTAATTTACTATATTTTTAATAGAATTAGATTTTTGGAGATTACAATGTTATAATCGATAATATTGATAGATAATAAAATATGTATTGCTCTAATACAAAAGCTTTTATTTGTTTCATATATTATAAGTAACATATGGTTAATGTTAATATGAATTAACATTGGTATAAAATAATACGAAGACGATATATAAATGCACATTATTACATAAAAGTTTAAAACATATATATTAATAAGTTTGTAAGATTATTATTCTTTTTTCTATTGTTATTTCATTGAAATAATGAATCTATTTGGAAAATAAAAAAGTACACTTATGGGTACTTGACCTAGGTATACTCATATTCCTTTGGATATAGATATTCTATATTCAGATCACAGTAATATAACATTTTTCTATAGAAGTTATATATATGTGTATATATATATAATTTTTTTTTAAAGAGCATTCATACATTTGCTGGATATAAGCCATTAGAGTTGAAATTTTACTGCTAATAATATACTACCATTATATTGAATTGATAGATTATTAAAATAGTTAGGAACTTATTAACATCATCCATACACACACACACATATATATATACATATATATATATACATATATATACATATATATATAAAATCTTTCACATCGATCATTTTCATAAAATTGCATTTAAATCATAGAGTCTATATAAATTGTCTTATATCAATCGAATTATACAGTATACAGTTTCATTTGTTTACAATATCATTCTTAAAAAATCAGGAAATAAATATTTGTACTACCAGCATGTCTTTGAATAAGGCCGTGTATGTAGCAGAAATTCTGACTATTGTATAATCTGTATTTATAAGAAATATTGTACTATGAGTATTTTGTGGTTAGCTTGCATGTAAAAGATTATTAAGTCTGTCTATAAAATGTCATAATATATTTTTTCACATTCTAAGTAATACATTCTGAAAAAATGGTGTTTCTTCTCTTTCTCGCTATGGCAGTTTATTATTCTTGAATTAATCATTTTATCTTTGTATTATATCTATACTGCAGAAGATAAAATGTTCTATGAGACAATAGCTGTACTTAGTTAAACTATCAGTTGAAGAGCTGAGAAAGACATTCAAAGATATGGTGTTGGTCATTACCATTAAAACTATATATTGATTTATACTAAAAATCCTTAGTACTTTAGAATTATGCTTGATTTGCATATAAACTACTTCTGCTGTGTTTTTGGCAGTGTTGTCATTATTTCTTCATTAAAATCATAGCATTTAGATCTTTTATTGTTATTAAAATAAATAAATTAAGTTACACAAACAAAAGGAATGAATAAATTAGTTTTAAAATAAGATAAAAACATAAACTGGCAAGTCTATGTTTTTATTCAGTCTTTGGCAAAAACAAGAAACTATGTATCTCTTTGGTATAATTATTATATTTAAAAATACCGACATTCTCTGTATATATGCATTTGTTTTTATATACTTCGTGTATATATAAACAATTGTTTAAAAGAATAAATAATTTTAAAAGATAGGAAAGTGAAATGAGATTCTTCGTATAATATTATGTTCCTAACTTGTACTATGATTTAAGTTGGTCAATATTTGAGGTAGATGATATATTCCTAAAGAGTAATATATTAGGTCTGCACCTTTCCTTCATAAAAATAGATATAGATTCTATAGTTATGACTTTTTCTATAGTTTGATACGTTAACAATTTTTTTTTCTTTATATATAATTGCATAATGACACAATAATATAAAAGACCTACTACTTCTTTCTCAATTTTGTGATTTAGTAATATATACATTATTGACGAGCACTTTTTTCGGTTTCAACTAAGCATTCTCTGACTAGAATACGTGCATGTACTATGCCACGCTTGATTCTTTCAGCAGAAGTACGACTGCCTGCATAGCTAGGTCTAATATCACGACCTAGTTCTTCTATAACATTAAGTAATTGAATATATTTAGATTGACCAGGAATAGTAGTAGATACCACTGAATTTTGCTGTAAAGCTCTGGGATTTGGAACATTTAACAATGGCTCTGTTACTTTTGTAGAAACTTCTACGTTCTTACAAACTTCTATATTTCCACGTTCTTCTTCCATCTTCTTTATCTTGAATTTTCTTCTATTATTTTCCTTATCGTATACCTTAATAAATAATTCATTTATTTCAACAAATTTGAAATAAAATTAATCTCAAAATAAATTTAAGGGAGAAGGAGAGAGAGAGAAAGAGAAAGAAAGAGAGAGAGAGAGAGAGAAAAAGATAGCGCATAATTATAACAATTAAAGTAATAATGGATTAATTATAAACTTTCAAACAATTATACTTTTTATATTTATTTATTATTTTATAAAATCATGAGAAAGAGAGAGAGAGAAAAAAAGACAGAGAAAGAGAGAGAGAGACAGAGAGAGAAAGAGAGAAAGAAAAAGACAAGAATACATATAGCCTCGATACGCTATCATAACCTCAAATACGCTTTTTCATAATCGTGAAAAATATAGACATGTTTAATTGTATTTACATACCTTAAATAACGAACTGCAGTTGCACTGTTTATATATAATCGTACAATAAGTACATAAGCGAAAAATAACCAATCACTTAGCTTTTTATCGGCACGCTGCAACTTGCAGCCGCAAGACGTTGCGCCGCAGTCGGGTTTTCTCTATATACTATTACAGTATATATGTGCTACTTACCTAACCTTCCCAAATGTAAATAAAAGAGAAAATATGCTTTCTTAAATATTTCATTTGGTTTTCAACAATTTTAATTATAAATAATAAAAATATATATGTTAAATGTATTTTCATTAAAACAACGTATACGATTGTAATACAATCACACAGTTATATACGTGTGTTACGTTTACGAGAATAATAAATACTGAAATTTTTATTTTTTTTTGTTGGTATTCATTCATATAACATCTTTGAGAAAAATAATGTGATAGAGTAGACATTTTAAAAAAACTGAGACTTTATTGAGCAATACCTCATATTTATGTCCAGGGATTATATTTCTCGTAGGTACATTTTTGTTTGATCAATTTTCTTCTCATACGTATACTATAAGTAATTATTGTATACCCGTCGTATTAACCAAAATTGCAATAAAATATTTTTTATATATAAAATATAAGTGAGAAGACTCTTCAGTGTACACATTGTTTCTAGTTTGATATACTCTATGTTCTACATTAGAACTTAGTCAAGTCTAAGGATTATTTATAGATTTTTCTATCGCATGAGACCCAAACATCAAAAACATACGATCTTTTATAAAACAAAAAAAAATTTTAAAACAATCTTTTCCCCTATTTAAAAATTCATAATGTAGACGTATATATACATATACGCATGATATAATTATATGCCATATATATATACATATAAAAATATGCATATAACTGCACTTGAAGATAATTAAGTGCAATTAAACAATGAAATAACCAATTCATTAATAATAATAATAATAATAATAATAATAATAATAATAATAATAATAATAATAATAATAATAATCATAGTAATAATAATATGTATTAATTAAGCCTTAAATACCACTGGCTTAAAACTTCTTTTCTTTGACAATCTAATATACCAAATACATTACAAGTATTTATCAGATTGCATAATATTTTTAAACAAGCAGTCCATTATAATGTATTTTGATTCATTGTCAAAGTGGTACTAAGCTTATATCGGCAAGATGGCATAATATACATAGCAGCAGATATATTTCTTGTAATTTGTAAACTTTTTTGTTTGAACAAAGATAATAATCTGCTGCATTCGATAGATCATACATATCATCTTGGAAAATAATCTGCTAAAAATCTAGCGGCTAAGTTCATCGACAGATCATTGTCGCGCGTTATGTTCTGTTTCTAACAAACATTCTCGTACGAGAATCCGTGCATGCTGTATACCCATTTTCAGACGTTCCGCGGCACTACGGCTTCCTGCATACGAGAGGCGAATGTCTCTACCGAGTTCTTCGATAATAACCAGTAGCTGGGCATATTTACCCTGACCAGGCACAGTCGGAAAATTTATCGTACTAGATGGGCTAGCCTGTGCTACTTGAACAGTTTGAACGTTTTGCAAATTCCTTGGATTTGGCACAGTAATCACAGGTTCAGGAATTCTTGGAATTTCTGCTACTTTGGGTGGAGGAGGATCATTTAATTTTGTTATTGTTATTTCATTAAGCTTAGCTAACTCTGTTAATTTAGCCATTTCGGCTATTTTCGAGTACTCTGGCATTTTTGCTATATCATTCTGTATATTTGCCATTTTGATCATTTCATTCATTTTAGTTTTTTCATTCATTTTTGCTATCTCTTTAGCCATTTCATTAATTTGAGCGATCTCGTTGAGTTTCGTTATATCGTTATTATATTTAGCCATCTCTGTCATTTTTACCATTTCATTTAATTTTGCTATTTCGTTCATTCTTTGTGCCTCATTAATCTTTGCCATTTGAGACATTTTGATCATTTCATTCATTTTGGCAATTTCACTTATTTTCGTTATGTCATTGTACTTAGCCATTTCCGACAATTTAACCATTTCATTCATTTTAGCTATCTCTGACATTTTGGCAATTTCTTGCATTTTTACATATTCCGTCGTTTTAGCGTATTCTGCCATCTTTTCCATTTCGTATCTCTTCGCCATATCTTGAGACATTTTGTTTAATTCAGTCATTTTACTAAATTCCGCAAGTTGAGCCATCTGTACTATATGTTCGGGAACTTTTCCTCTTTCCATCATCTGCTTCAATTCTGCAGATATTTTATTCATATTCATTTCAGACATTTGAGCGATCGTTGCTGCATCTGGCATTTTGGAGAGTTCTGCAATTTTAGATATCTCCCTAGCTAGATTTTCATCAAGACAACGCTTCTTCTTAGCACGATGCCTGGCCATTCTCTGAGCTTCTTGCATCCTTCTTAGAGCAGCTTGTTCTTCAGTTTCCTTTGCTCTAGCGTTCTTCATTCTTTCAGCCGATGTATATAATCTTAGAGCACGTTCCTCTGCTGTTTCTGACATTAGTTTTTGTCGTCTATACTCTCGCATTTCCCTTACCTTTCTAAGGTAAGATTTCTTCTTTGCCTTGGGCATAACACGTAATTATGCGAGTAACAAACATCATTATTAATATAAACTGTCATCTTTACAAAATTTAAAAAAACAAATCCTAGCAAAATATATGCTGGGCATACACGTCCAGCCAATTCCACTGTGTAGTTTCTTTCTATTCCTCACTATACTCCAGACTGTTGTAGACACTTTTATGTCCAATAAGACAGAAGTATATTATCTCTGAATATGATATTTATCCTGAAACAAAAATTCACTTCGTTTTCCCATCAAAAATATTAAAACGTTATCGATATTATTAATTCCAATCAATTAAAAAAAAATACTGCATTAGTTACATCTATATTGTTAAATCGTTTCAAAATTTAAGTATCGTAGTGTAGAATCGATATAATTGCGTTTTAAAAATAATACGTCGATATAAAATCTTATGATATAAGAAGACGCGCACATTATGAACGCCAGCGATCCTTTAAGAAAATGGGTAAGCGTAGATTCCTTCTTGTAGAAACGTAAAAAAAGAGACAGGGCGAGAGAGAAAGAAAGAAAGAAAGAAAGAAAGAGAGAGAGAGAGAGAGAGAAAGAGAGAGAGAAAGAAAGAGAGAGAAAAAGAAAGAAAGAAAAAGAAACAAAAAGAAAGAAAGAAGTAAAAGACAAGCCGGCGTTTTTAAATGTATAATTGTAAAAGTGCGTCAAACGAAATGCGCGGGCGCGTGCGAACGCAAGCGACAGGTGTAAAATCAGGGTTGCAAGCACGTGCGTAAAAAAGCATCGGTAAATGAGATTTTCGAAATGCTCGGGCGGGCGCGCGCGCGCCGACACACGTTTGTATGCGTTTAGTAGGATAGTAATAATGGCGTAGTAGTAGCGTGCGTGCGTCGTGTGTATATGTTGCCGCGCGAGCGTGTGTGTGTGTGCGTCGCGTCTCCGAAAATTCGAAAGAAGAGCGTCGTCGGGTTTGTCGCGATAATGCGCATGCGCGTCCGAAGTTAAGAAATGCCGTCTTCTCTGGAACGTTCACCACCAATCACAACAATGGCGGACGCAATTCGGTAAATCCACGTACACGTACGAACAACCCACCGTTTGTTAATACCGGCACGCGCACGTGTCTTGTTTCACAATCGTACAATCCTCGGGACACACGGAATCCGTCGATATCGGGCAAATGAAAATCGATCGAACTTTTCTCAAGATATTCTGCAGACAAACGCACAAAAGGAAATATCGGGTCGACATGTAAGATTTTCGTTCGGGGCCACTTTAAGGGGCCAAGCGGGGTCGCCGATAGGCTGCGTGTGACGTGGTTGCGTTTATTGACCATAACCCCTTCCTACCTCTCCGTCTGCAACTTCACGACGGACAGGTGTACGACCGAAGAGAGTAAGAGAGAGAGAGAGAGGGAGAGAGAGAGAGTGAGAGAGACACACACAGAAGTGAGAAAGATAGAGAGAGAAAGAGAGAAACCGGGAAACTATTGACCGGCCACCGGCCGCGTCTTAAAAAGCACGAAGACGTTCGCCGGACGACCACTAGGAGGACGGCGCCTTTCCTCTTTTTCTATCCTTTTCTTTCCCTCCCACTCTCTTCTTTCCTTTCTTCTTCCCCTTTCTCTCTCTTTCTCCTTCTTTCTCTCTGTCTCTCTCTCTCTTTCTTATTCTCCCTTCTCCTTATTGCTTTTTCAACGGCACGATCGACCCACGAGGAAGCCGACTCCGTCTTCTCTTCTCTCTACTTACTTTGATTCTCTCCTTTTATATTTCCTGATCCCAAATGTTCTATCTTCCAAGGTCATTAATCTTCCTTTAAGAAATGACAAAGTTTTGACATTAAAACGCATATTTTGTTTATACCGATATATAAGAATTTAAGTTATGATCATAATCAAAATGGCTTTGATTCGATTCGAATATGAATTCTTACTTAGGAAACTTATTACAAATAAATTTTTTCGTATTTTTGTTTATATTCAAAAGTCTAACTATATTAATTATGTGTAATAAGATCCGTTAGATTTTTTTTTATTAAACGATACCAAATAATGCTTTGTATACAATCTACTTAACCTTTCTAACAAAGTCATGTAAATTTAATAGATTTATATTTGTCTCTTTATTATTTTGAATTTGATAGAATACGAAAGTCTTTTGAATTTTAAGAAATTTTTGAAATTTTGAATATAAGTTCTATTTATTATATTCCTTTTATATAATAATAATTTAATTTAAATTATTAATTTTTCATTAGTATATAAATAAGAATGTTTTCGATTGTTTTGTATTCTTACATGTTGAAATTTCCCGCCTTGAGTTGATGATAAACCGATCGTAACAATGGCGGACGTACAGTGACAACGTTTTTAGGAAATAAGGTTATGACTTTACGTACATTTCGATAAAAGATTTATTGATTCTATTACTTACGTTGAAAAAGTACCAAGTAAATACACAATTTCAGAATAATTTCTATAAACTTAGAAAATGATTGACAAACGAACGGTGTAAAATATTGAGCTTTCAATAGAATACGTTGGATTTGGCAATAGACAATCACATTTACTGGTATAGTTCGGCGAAAAAATACTAAGTAATTGGAGTTTATTGTAGATCAGAGAGAGATAGATTCTTCCACTTTACGTAGGTAGCGTTGCTTCAAGGTGATTCGTTCCCAAAATAACTTCGTGCAACTAATCAAAGTCAATGTCTATAAATTCTTATACTTTCTTTTCGTCAGTTCTACAAATTAGAGGTTAACTTATTATTTATTTATATTTGTGATTTTTTAATTTATTAGTTTTTTTTTTAAATAAATTGTTTTCTTATGCATATGTACGATTGTATACAAATACAAAATTTAATTGTTTATATTTTTATAAATGTAACATTTATGATGTTTATAATTAAAAACACTATATCCATTTATAATTTATTTTTTAATATTTTTCTGAATATTTAACAAATAAATGTATAAATATATACAATATAAATATTTTTTGTATAATCTAAATGAAAAAAAATATATATATATACTCTTTTTTGTTTGTTGCAGGTATATTATTTATACAACAAAAGAGAAATCGACTAAAACATTAATTATATGTACAAATATAAATGAAATATGTATATTCCACAGCTCGAATATTATTTTCTTTTATTATTAATTATCATTCCGATGTACCTGTTTTTTACATTATGGTCATGGCTTGGCTGGGAATTATTTGTTAATAATTAAATCTTACTTCTTTGCATATATATATATATATATACACACACATATATATATACATATTTTGAGCGATTCGCATATTTTTATATACTATATGCAGATTGCTTATTGTGCCATTTTAATTAAACTATGTTAACCTCATAAAGGAATATTTGTACTTTTTCTAAAAATCATTATAACAGTCTAAAATATTATTAAGCATTTGACCAACAATAATTTCGTCCTTTCAACATAAAAAATTTTTCTTCAATATCATCAATTTATATAGTGTCAGTAATTAAAAGTTCATCCAATCCCATTCTACCTCTATGTTTCCATATTCTGTATCTAGCAACATCTTTTCGTGTAATCATTCCAACTACCTATATAATCAACATTATCAATATTATTTAATTTTATGATTAATATATGACATTGTGAGCATTATATACATAATATTGTATACCTCATTGGTGTCATTTACAATAGGTAAATGACGAAGACCTAAAGCTCTGAAAAGTCTAAAAACACGTGGCAGTGTAGCAGACTGAAAAAAAAAATTTTTTTTTACATAAAAATTATTTTCTTCAAAATATTATTATAAAATAAAAATACTAACATGTTGTAATGTATATGGAGAAGGATTCATAATAGGCCTTAAATCAATTGTATATGTTTTTTCTTCTTCTGTAATATGAACTTGTTCGATAGATGGATATCGTGGATAATCCTTGCGAAATACTTTGATATCCAATGTTGATTCCCAAAATTCTGCATATTCATTAAATACTCTATTTTGTAAAAGTGCTATTAACTGAGAACGTAGCACTAGTCCGCGAAATCGACCATAAGAATGTATTTCGTTCTGAAAATATTAACAATAAGGTTAGAATTATAATTTTTGTTGGATAGATTATAGAATGCATTACCTGATCACTATTTGGAGGATCTACTACAGGAAATCCATTAAATGAAATACATTTTAAAAGTTCCACAATGTGTCCTACATTTTCAACAGTTTTTAAAGTTACCACAGGATGACTCATAATTTCGCTAGCATATATATTATTTGACAAAGGAGGTGCCTCCCAGGGTAATAACGGTACTCCTGCCATTTGTATATGAATATCATAAATGCCCTATGAAATAATTATTATTAAATAATTATAATTATATGTATTTTATAATTTGATATAATTATTTAATCTGTAAACATGCAAACTTTTCGACGGAGAAGAAAATTCAATCACTACTATATTTCCATTAGAGTAAATTTACTTCTTTAATGATTTCAAATTTTTAATTTTAGATAATGGATAGATAATTTCTTTGTTTAAGAACGATGTAGGAGTGTAGTTGCGTGGCAGTGTAGCAACAGTGAACAGACACTCGAAAATACTGCTATGGTGGGAGCGAGAATCCGTTAAGAGGAAATAAAAGAGTGGGGATAAGAGGCAATTGGCCTTACGAATCAACTTCACATGACTCTGAACTCAGAATATTTGACCAATAAATGTAACATCGGCCAATATTTTATATTTAAATGAATAATATTAGTATATTTTTTTTATAGTATTTTTTAATAATATTTTTTAATAGCATTGTATTAGGGCCAATAAATGATGTTGAAATTTTCAATATAAAATATTATAAAATATAAAATACTGAAAATTCTGGCATTGCTTATTGACTGATTCAATTAGCCAATGTTTTATGATTATTAAATTTTATGTAATTTTTTATTTATTTACCTCATTAAAGAAATCGCCTACCCATTTTGCCATAATAAGAACTATTATTACAGGCAAACCGAAAGATATCCCTTGAGTTGCTTCAATCAAAATTGCAGTTAAACTGATTGTCATTCTAACAATTCCACCTAATTGTGCAGCAGCTCCTAACAAAGCATATTTTCCAGGATCCAATACTGTCTGTTGTGAATAAAATAAATATCCATTTGAGTAAAATATTAAAATTACATACTCTATCTTTTTTCTGATTTTTTCTTACACTATCTGGACATATTTTTGATAATCCTGATCCTATAAGTCTACCCCAAGCAGAACCAATTAGAAGTGATGGTATAAAAAGTCCACTAGACATAGATAATCCAAATGTAAAAACTGCTAGGATAAAATAAAGTATAATAAAAATAGCCAATGTTATATCGTTGTGAGAACCTATAAAGAAAGAATATAAATATTCTTACGTTTCAAGAGTGTATTATAAAATATGCAATATTATTATGAATACCTTTAGGATCATGAAATAAAGATCGCACACTACTTTCTGGTGTTTGGAACCATAAAGCAGCAACTGCACTGTACTCTCCTTCCTTACAATACATCCGAATAGGAAATTTAGTAGGATCTTGTCCAATTGGTTTACAATCATCAAGAAAATATATCATCAAAAATCCCATTGTTGCGCTCATTATTGCTATTATAAGAGCTTCTATTACTTTCAACCATTTTTGCGTTATATATTTTAATCGAAAGCATGTAATTTTGTAATTTATGTGATTCCACAAAGCACCAAAAATACCACCTATTATTCCGACTATCATAAATAAAGGAATTTCATAAACTTGGTATGGTATTGAATCAAATTTTCCCAAATTTAATAAACCTGGATAAGAAAGATCACCAAGATGTCCATGGTATGTGCTAAGAATAATGTTCAATGTGAAAGTAGTAATCATGCTAGCAAAAAATGTTCTCCATGTAAGACTTTGATTAAAGAAGCTAGTACCTTCTTCAATACTAAATAAAACTCCACCTAAAATATTGATTTATATATAAAAATATATACTGATATTCTTTAGTTTCTATGTATATGCAAATATATAATTCTACAAAATATTTTTAACCTATAGGTGCACCAAAAGCAGCTGATACACCACTGGCTGCTCCGCCAGATACAAAATCTCTTTTTTCATGATCTTCTCTGAAATATTTAAAGATTCCTAAATCCTTTTTAAATGTTGTACTTTTTCCTTGAGATATTCCTGCAGCAACTACTGCTCCAGAGTGTATCATTGGTCCTTCCTTTTTCATTAATGCAAAAAATATAATTGTAGATTTTGTTTTCACTTAAAATTATTGCCAAAATAAATCACTAATGTTACCTTTCCTCCAGCTAATCCACCTACGACAGTGCAAATGACACCAATTATTTTAACTGCTAAAGTTTTAATTCGTACCACTCGAGGTACTTTTATTCCATTTAAATAACATTTCACCTGTGGAATGCCACTACCAGCTGCAACAGGTTCAACATAGGATACTAATAAAGCACCTATTAAGACTGGTATTAGATTGGAAGTTAACCATAATAAATATGGTAGCCATAAACAATTATTAACCACACAGTGATCTACATCTGTTATAATATGTAAGAATGTCTTTATATTAAAAACTGTCTTATAAAAAATCATGTAAATTTCAATAGTCAAGGATACAAGTTTTTAGACATCCATATTTTATATTTGATAATTGTTCTATTGAAATATCTACAAAACATGCTATAAAGGCAGTACAGATTCCTATTAACAAAAAGATAAACCATCTTGCAAAATTCTTCTTAACAACAAATTTGTAGCCCTTTTTCCTTTCTTCATCTTGAAGAAGATAGTTTTCACAGGGATCATAATCGAGACTCTAAATTAGGAAAAAATTAAAATCAATCATTGTTTAGAACTATATAATAATAATACTTATCAATTTTAGACATAAAAAAACTACCTCATAATTAATGGAGAGAAAATTAGTTGCTCCTGGTTTTATATCTCCACTATTAAGTCTTCTTGACTGTCGATTAGAAAGACTTTCCATAATGTTGCACGTGGAGATGCCATTATAAATAACATTCTGTTAAAAACAAAAAACAAGAAAAACAACTAAAATTTTTATTTATGCAACGATAAATACTCTAATAATTAAAATATTTAATTAAAAATGTTCTCATAATAATTCCATTATTTTTTGTAAATCAAATATCCTACGAATGAAAAAATATATAATAATACAGGTGTTTATAGATAGCGTATACAAAAAATTGTTATAAGTGCATAAATTATTTATTATTATATTCATAGATGAGCAAATAAAGAACAATCAGTTCTTAAAGTTTTTCATTTCGAAGATTTCCATAGACCTCATTCACAAACGTAAGAAGATCATAAACAAGAATTGATACAGAATACGAAATAAGGTTAGGATGATTATTATCAAACAAAGAGAATAAAGAGACCCCAAGAAAGGAATGAAAAATTGTTGATTGAAATAAATAAGAACTGTTGATTGTCTTACCCGAAATCTAACGTTGATATCCTCGTTCGAGTAAGAAGCGAAATTATTTCGAGGTTTTAAAAGTCTTTC